TCAGTTCACCGACGTAGCCGTTTACGTACGCAACGAACAGGGTAGGACCAACAACGAGGCCTTAAGGAACACCGCTTTCAACCGCTACCCTCACCGACGTGGACAATTTGAGAGAGACCGATTAAGAAAGCTTGAATCCACCTCAGGATATTACCCCTAATACCAGTTCGGCTAGGTTTGTGCAGTAGTCGCTGATGTGGTACGCTATCGAATGCCTCCTTAAAGCCGATCTAAACTGCGTGCACTGCATTCTCTCCATCAACTTCCCGGGTCCCGGTTTACTACGCATGATCAGCCTATGCGGAATTCATGATGGGAATCACATGCCAGATTACGCTACTCTGGGGAGCGCATTAGCTCTCGCCTTTCTACATAATTTTGCCGCAGACTTAAGTGAGGTTGATTGATCTGTGGTTGTTTGTTGAGACCTTGATACTGCCTTTATGCAGTGCTGTAATCCAGTCGGTGGACAGTCTGCTTCAGAAGAGGCTTAAAATAGCACGGTCAGCAATTTGGATAGTTCTCCAGCGAACTCCTTCAGCAATCTGGGTGGTGTCAACCGGCCCGGGTGATTTTGATTCATTCAGTATCAACAGTTCCTCGAGAGCAATAGTTTCGGCGAAAGAAACAGTCTAGATCGTTGGGCCCTCAACTAGGTCGCAGTCGGGGAAAATAAATGCGCTTTGCTTCGTAAAGAAAAATTGCAAATGGTGTTCTGCCTTTGCTCTGTTCTCACTAAGCTCTAGATCTTTACCAGTCTTCAATAGGGGGGGGGGGTTAGGCTTCAGTTTTACGCCTTATGTAACCATAAAATAACTTCGGGTTCTCTGCGGCTCGGTCCAGCAGGTCTTTCTCGAAAGCATGACGTGTCCTGAGGATTAGTCGCCTAACTAGGCTTCTCTGCGCCTTGTACACATTTATCGACACAGGGTTCCTGTCCGAGAGGAATTTTTTCACAATCTCCGCTTTTTATTCACTTCCATCTTTCAAGATTGAGTCAGCCACTAGAGTCTGTTGTTCAGTCTCCCGTGTAGTCGGGCAGTAGTTTCTGAGGAGAATGCGCAATAACTCGCTGAACCAGTCCCAATCCTCAACTATGTTGCCGGAAGAAGCTGATTACCAATTGATGTTGTTTATTCCAGCTTTCTTTTGATCACAATCGTCGCACCAAATATGCCTTCTAATTCTGGTGGGTTTTTCGGGCATAGAAAAAAGATCAAGAACCCCCACAACAGTACAAATTTGTCGCTTCGACCTAAGGGAGGTAGACGTTGCATCTCATCAGTTCTGTCCAACGACTTCGTAAGCACCAGATCCAGACAGTTCGACTGTTGCCCTTCACACACCCTCGTCGGAAACAAGGCGTGTTGAGTGAGGAGTAACTTAAGTGCCATGTCTGGCAAACATCGGTCAAAAGCTTAAGCTGGACCGAGGGTGCAGGCTGAACTCTAGTCAGTAAGTAGTGCATTAAAGCCTTCCATGATTAAGGCGTCAGAGCAGAAAATATTTCTAGGTCCTCAAGCAGACGGATGTAAGCCGTGGGACTATTTCTCGGCGGTCGGTAGACTATCAGAACATCGAGATTTGGTTAATCCGGTGCTTTAATAGTCCGCCAGACAGCCCCGGGAGTACACGCAAATTTATCCTTTTTGTCTGAAACTATAGACCCATGTTTTGCATACACGAGTAAGCCTCCCCTCAGACGTCTTGGCCTGTCTCTTCTGAACAGCTGATATCTGGGTACAGTCAACTCACAGCTATCCACGTGTTAGGACAACCAAGGTTCTGTCAGTGAAATTGATTAGAGAGATGCATCTTAAGCTCGACGACTTCCAATAACATGCTCTGCAGGTTGGTGAGTATGAATCTGAGTTTGCGATTTACGGGAGAGTTGGTTCCAACGCTGTTCGAGCCTTCGCTTACTGCGTCGGTCATCCGGATCGGATCCGCCCAAAGAAAAAGCAGTGGGCGCTGCTTGACTTGGTTGTTGTTGATTACACAATGCGTTCTCCTTCGCTGAGTCTTTTTCGGTCCTAGAAATATACGACTTTTCAGTCTCTCTGCTGGTGAGTAATCCGATGGAAGAAAGAACGCTAGGGTTGAGGCACTTTATCATAAAGCGCCGAATCAGTCTGGCTTGTTCCTTACAAGTCGAGAGCGTGTTGATGCCGACTGATTGTTTGCCCATTTTTTAAGATGGAAGGTTTTGAGCACTTCAACGGCCTCAGAGGGTTTCACAATATTATAAAGCAGGCTTTGGAAGGGCGTCTGGTCCTCCGAAATCCGCTCATTGGGAGTTCTGGCGTTTGATTCAGGCAGTCCCTGATTACTGCGACATTGTTCTCTGACGACTTCGTCCGTATTTTCTGTTATAGCATCACTCTCCGAAGGGTGTGGCGCTCTGGGGATGTAGGCCGGTGATGACTGAATAGATGTTTTTCGCGGTTTTGTTGTTCAACCCCTGCTTTGGCAGACTTGGAAGAAGCGCTGACACGGACGGCCGTGAATAATGGTCTGTAGTTACGTTGATTGATTCGCGCTGAGTTCATTCAATTCTAAATTTCTCTGGGCGTTACTAACGATTGTTGGACCCTCGGCACTAGTCTATATGGAAGTGGCGGTTATCAAGGTCCCTGGTTTGAGTGCCGTGTAGATATCACTCAGAAGTGGCTGTTTATTTCCAATGACTTTCTTACCACTGGACTTCTCTCATCCCTAGTCTTTCGATTCCCTCGCTGGCCGTTGTCGTTCCGTTTTTTTTACTGTTCTTTCTAGTTCTGTCGCATCTGCTACAGAAGGCACGGGTGAAGTGCCTTTTAAGTAAGATCCTCTTGTCTTTTTCCTTGTTATTCGTCCATTGGGTACATTTGTATCGTCAGTTGTGCCTAAATTGCATTGCAGAAGAGTTGTCATGCATTCGATCACTCCCTCGAGGTCTAACAGCCGGCATCCATTACAAATCTTAGTTGCATGTGGTTTGTCTATACAATCGATGAGACCGTGAGGTCGACCGCCGCCGTGGCGAGGTGACCGAGCGGTCTGAACCGCCGGTAGGTACGACAGTGGTCGCGAGATCGAGTCATTTTGGGCAGCAGTGCATACGTTCATCACGCTTCTCGAAATTATGTAAAATGCAGTTGGCTTGGCGTCGACTTGGTGGTTCGTATCGATTAAATGTGCGAGAATTGAACTGCAAGTCGGCCGACTGTCCCTTTGTTTGTATACCCTCTTCTCTCCAGACGACTCGTTGTGCAACCAATGTATCCCACTCCGCGGGACCGGGTGAGTGAATAAATGCACGTTGATGTGGCCTGCAACGACAGTCTGTTGCTGTCCCCCAACCGTAGGAGGGGAGTTTGCAAGGAATACGCGCAAGTTCGCCGCGGGGAGGCACTCGTGATACCTGTCCTAAGATTTCGTCTCACTAATTCGCTTGCTGCGTCTCCTAGAAGAGGCAGTCTTAGAAGTAAGTCTTCCATTTCTCAAGTTGAAATGGAAGGCTTCTTGGCACGCTCCCTAATTTTTTGGGAGGATGAATCTCTCTTGTTGAAGAAACTCGAATTGGATTTTGAGCTCTAACTGCTTCTGCCTCCGCCGTGCAATGCAAAACTTAGGACCAAGAGATAGTACTTCCGCAAGAGTTTTGTTAAGACGCATTGAAGGAGAGTTACAGACGTACTGCTCCGGACTGTTCGGAAGGAAAGTCCGCCACTTAACTGGTAGGACACCTCGTAGGAGCTTCGTCCACCTGAGGTAGCTTCTCCTATTTCTGTCTGCACATAGTCTCCAAACGTCAGTCTCTCGGGAATTCCAAGATTACCGAGGGCTGCTGTTTCTTGCATAAGTGCTGAAGTCTTTCAAGATGACTTTCTGCATGTCGCCGTAATGTGCCTAAGGTGGCGGCGATATGGTTCCTTCGCAAGGTTTTGCAGCGGTATCTGGGATATTCACCACGGTCAATATGTCCAGATACCAATTTGGTCGTCAAATCGGCCTCCGCGCGTCTGATGTCGGACTTCAGGAATTCGTTTAATATATGTTCTGTAAGAATACCCATGTTACGGTTGAAAGTCAGTTGACTTGGCGTTGAGTTAGGCGGTAACTGGTCACGTCGGGTCTGCCGAAATATCTGGAGAGTGGAAGGTCTGACAGACGTTTTCACCTGATCCTGGCTTGATAAGTTGATAAGGATCTGACTTTAAACAGCGCAACAAGCAGAGTTAATAAAAAATATGCCGACTCAGCCTTTTGCAGACGTTGCACGAAAACGCTAACAAACAGTTTGAGACAGTAAGTTGCGTAGATCAAGCCGGAATGCCAGCGGAAAGACGGGGCCTGCAGAGCAATAGTCCTAGTCGGTGTCTAAGAACCGCGAACCGAAAGCAACGAGGTGTTTTACAACTCAGTTTTTTGTGGGAGACAGTCGTTTTCCGCAATAAACTGTTGCAGAATTTACGTATGAGGGAAAATTCAAACCGGTGAGATTTTAATCGGTAGAACATCTGTACACTTGACGTCCAAGAAGAACTGGCAAAGACTTCGAGGGAGTTAGTCATACTACTAGATCGACAGCCACAAGCGACGATGCCTACCGTGCGCCTTAGGGAATGCGCACAGCATTAGGGACTTGAGCGTGAATTAGTTTATGTTGAGGCAGACTCGCGAAACGCCAACTGAATTCTCGACTCCCACAGCCACTTTGCTCTCGTGGCCAGATGCCGCCAAGACGACCAGTGGGCGCCGGCGCAGCTGTTGACAAGGCCAAACCTCACGTCTACGCGGGCCACACACACGATCTGGCTCCAACTGCAGATGCTCCAGGCCCCAATACGAGTGACTAGGATCCCACGCAGGCAAGAATGGCAGAGTTCATGTTAATGAATCTTTGTAGCCTGACTCTTAGTCCTCATCTTCCAAAAAACATGTATGTACAAAAGATACAGCCTGAGGGAAGTTTGGCAGAGCAAAACATAAGTGGAGTGGAGGACAGAGGGGGAAAGTTAGGCGAGCAGTGAGAGTACGCTGCTCTGGCTGTCCGTCTCCCAGGCCTCATTGAGCTCCTTGAGTGGCACACATTTGCGTCGTCGTGGCGGCACTCCGGCCCCCGCCAGTAATCGACTGCGTCTTTGGAGGAGGGTTGAGGGCCGCTGAGAGACGGAAACTTGTGAGGTCGGGTTCGCGTGTCGGCGCAAGTGAAGGGATAGTTTTTGCTGTTGGTGAGAGAAGACAATAAAAACAATGGAGAATAAATAAAATTAACCAGAGTTTAAAATTGAACATGGTATAGAGAAATGGCAGAGGGATGACCTCCGATCACGTTACGGAACTGATTCGTCCCGTTGTGCCTTGGGACTCTCTCTCTCTCTCTCGAGCCTCGCCAGCAACCACACAGCGGCGCGTAATATGGGCAGAATAGCATTACCGACTAAGACAATGGAGACTGGAATGGTCATTACTGGATTATCAGCCGTCGTTAGCCAGCCATACCCAACCTTGTCTTTGTCGGTAATGTTATAATACGCGTCGCTGTACGGTTGCTGGCACGGCTCGGGAGGATGAGTGATTTCCGTAAAAAACGATCGGTTAGCGCTCCTCTACAATTATATATGCCCTATCGCAAACGATAGGACGAGCCCGTGGCTCAGTGGTTAGGACGCTTGACTTCTGACCGACAGGTCGCCAGACTGAACTTCAAGGGTTGCACACCTCAGGGTCTGGTATGGCTGGCTGACGACGGTTAGTAAGTCCGAAACGGTCATTCCAGTCTCCCTTGCCTTTATCGATAATGTTATTCTGCCCAAAGAGAAATGGGTAACTACCTGGTTAAACGGCAGACAATAGACAGTAGCTCGGCATATATAAGTAGAAACGCACAAAAGTAGGACCGGAGGTGGGTGGAAGAAGGGGGGAGGGGGGAATGGACAGAGACGCAACTCTGCATAAACACACCTGTGTCGACAGAAGGGCTGGGCAGTAGGGATAAGGACAAGCGAAACGCCGCAGTTCGCTGGAGTGCACGGAGCGTATGTGTGCCACGAGGTTGCGCTTAGCGGTGAAGGCTACCGGAGCGGGTGATGGCGTCAGTGATGAGGGGGATGAATCGTCGCCACCGGAGGTTGAGGCGGCAACGGCAGGAGGGCATAGGTGACAGACGAAACGACGTCTGTTCGCCGGACCGCCGGGTGTGTGAGTGGCCTCGTGCTCGGTCAGGTGTTGCGCGCGGGAGAAACGTAGCTGACAGACTGAGCACTTGAAAGCTGGACGGGAAAATGAAGGCGGGGAGAGAGGGGGACGGATGAAGTAGTCGTCGGCAGCGGCCCTATCATCCTATTACTGTCGGTCTTGCTAGCAATATACCGCTGACGAGCAAAAGTCACACAAAGCCCAAGCCACCGGGGCGAGGAGGTGGGATGGCCATTCCTGGCTTATTAGTCGTCGTTGGTCGTTCATAACTCCACCAATGAACGCCTATGCCTATACATGTGGTTACATAAACATATATTCACTCATGAATGGGCGCACACTGATCTACTGGCTTTCCGAAGCAAAGAAGCTCCATATGGGTGACAGGAATCACGAACGGGCAACCGACTTCTAGGCCGAAGTCGGCCTGGCTATGAGATCAACTGCTAGACCAACTGGCACACCAGCTGTGTCAGACCTATGTGCACGTGTTCGTGTTTCCAGCCCCAGCTGGTTGTCAGGGTTATGATTGGCTGACTTAAGGCAAACAAGCTCGAGACACTTCTGTATTAATCTACCTCCAGACTGTCGTCACTCCTCTCATATATGTATGGCAAATGTATTATACCGTACTCCCGAAATAGGTACTAGCTAAGGGTCTAGACACATGTTCCGCCGATATTCTGCCGCTGCGTGACACAGCAGCGGGGGCTCGGCTCCTCAAAGGACCCCCAAGCGTTGTCTATGTGATTTCTGCTATATGAACTCCAGAGAATATTCAAGCTAATAATTTTAGAAGTTATGTACATATATATATATATATACTCCTCTGATCTATATTATATATATATATATATATATATATATATATATGGAAAGGTAATACCGACAAAGACAAGGGAGACCGGAATGGCCATTTCTGGCTTATTAGCCGTCATCAGCCAGTCATACCCAACCCCAAGTGTGGATCACTTGAGATTCGAACCCGGTATCTTTGGTCATGGAGTTGAACGCTCTACCATTGAGCCACGGGCCCGTTGTCCTGTCGGTTGTGATCGGGAATATTAATTATGATAGTGGGCGCTCACCGATCAGGTTACGGAACATGCTCGTTCCGTTGTGCCTTGGGGCTCATACTTAAACCCTCGCAGGCAGTCGCACAGCGACTAGTGATATATGTTGGAAAGGTAATACCGACAAAGACAAGGGAGACCGGAATGGCCATTTCTGGCTTATTAGCTGTCATCAGCCAGTCATACCCAACCCCAAGTGTGGATCACTTGAGATTCGAACCCGGGATCTTTGGTCATGGAGTTGAACGCTCTACCATTGAGCCAATGGCTCAATTGGCCAATTGGCTCAATGGTAGAGCGTTCAACTCCATGACCAAAGATCCCGGGTTCGAATCTCAAGTGATCCACACTTGGGGTTGGGTATGACTGGCTGATGACGGCTAATAAGCCAGAAATGGCCATTCCGGTCTCCCTTGTCTTTGTCGGTAATGCCATCCTGCCTATATCATGCGACGCTGTGCGGTTGCTGACTGGGCTCGAGGGAGAGCCCGTAGGGCACAACGGAACGAGTGAGTTCCGTATGAAAGATCATTGAGCGTCCCCTACCAATGTATATATAATATCGCGACAGGGTTGTTCACTGGCGGGGTTACGGAACATGCGTTTTGTTGCACCTTGACGCTCAATCTAGAGTTCTCACAGACGGATGTATAGAAGACCAGCAATATAGGCAGAAATGGAAATACCAGCAAAGAAAATGTAGATTGGGTTGATCGTTTCCGGCCACACCCAACCCCAGGCTTAGGAAGGCCCTCTCTTGAAAGCATACCTAGATGACGGCCGGAGGGGAGTTTTGGAAATACACACACCACCTTTATGCCAAGAAGGAATTCACCACTGTCTGTCATCAAACTGTTTCTCAGTTACATACACTGATCAGACAGAAACGCGAGTAAGTCCTCTATTTTTGCTATGGGGGTTAACGGGGTCCGGGGACGCAATCAGTACGCAAAAATTGAAATAAAAGTGTATGGTAGAATGTGTTGACGTAGGCTAAGTAACCCTATAGTATGCATGGCGTTATTTACCGTCTTCGGGGCGTGGTGGTACGCCTAGATGTGAGCTCATTCGCCGTGCCATCTACCTGCGCCCTCTCCCACCTCCGGCCTCCTTGAGTATGTAACGAAAGCGGGTCTAGGTGAGGGAGGAGTGTGGTAGATGCTGTGCAAGTCTACTACCACTATAACCTAATTTACGCACAAGTCACCGTGCCTGTATTCACCTCACTGTGGAGCGCACAGTGAATATCACTGCCTACGACGGTCGAACTGTCATGTCCTAATAGCACTGTCGCCAGTCCCCATCAATTTATAGTAGGTGGTTTTCTCAAACACGGAAGCTACATGACCGCCAATCCCAAATGCCAAAAATTCAGCGAGCTGGAGACTGTCTGCACTTCCTTCTCATCTAACAGTCAAGAAAACATTTCGAAGACGGAAAAGTACGGTGGCTCGAGTTCTAAGCGCAGCACTTGTGAAAAAATGATCGATTTCTTATAATCGATGACTAATATCGGCGGGTAGTGGGATGGGCGTTGCGGAATTCTTTGTCGTCGTCAGGACCATAGCTCATATTCTGGGTCGGAAATTTTTGAGGAGTAAGCCCGGGTTATTCGATCGCCGGGACAGACGCTCTATTAGGTGCGTTTGAGGAATATTCAAGAGTCCGCCAAAATGCTGTTCACCCATGCGGCCTAGTCGCCAGGCGGAAGACGAGTGTTCTGCTTCGTTCGGGCTACAGACAGGGATTAAGTTGTGTCGGATAACGCTAGTGGCAGTACTCTCAATCTCTACCTTTCAGCAACCTGCTAGAACGAGCAATTCAACAAACCTGGTTTTGGATGGCATGTGGCCATGTGCTTCCGGAGTTTTGAAAAATTTTCAAATTCCGCACGTGGCTCGGTCGCGCCATCTGGGTCACCCTCCGAGGACGCAGGGCACAGCAGACACTGCAGTTTGTGGTGCCGACTCAAGTGGCGCTCCAGCTTCGACTTGGTTGGAAACCGGTTTCCACACTGGTCACAGTGGAAGCGACGCTCGCTGGAAAGGAAAGGGGTAGAGATTTGAGGTGATAGGTGCAGACAGCTTTACCGAACAGGACAGCAAATGGCTTGACAAAATTGTTTGATTCTACAGTGGTTATTAGACACTGGCACACGCGGAGGATATGAAAAATAGGATAATGATGATGGTGGCGAAAAAGTCACCCAATAAAAATTGGCTAGATTTAGAAAACCTTTACAAAACAGAGGCTAACGAAAAGTCGACTGGTCAAAACATGGAACGCATAGTCAAGACTGGAGTAACTAAAGACTAACAGGGCAAAGTGTTGGCGACCGGACGGTTCTGAAATTCTTTTGCAAAATACTGTAGTGGGTTTTTAATTTCCTCACAAATTATTGGCTAGCTTGGAGTAAATCGATCCATTTGAGACTTATAAACTCAAACTGAAATTTGATTTGAATATTTTGGCCGAAATCCATCAGTCACGATGGAGTAACCGCATAATACTCTGGCGTTAGAAGATACCACACTAGCAGCACAGGTATTAGCTAAAAGCCCAGACACGCGTGTTCCGCAGATATTCTACCATTGCATGACACAACTGTGAGGGGGTTCGGCTCTTCAGTGGGTCCCCCAGCAGTTCCCGTGTGCTTTCTGGTTGATACTGCAGTCTAGAAACTGTTGCTTTTTTAATGAAAAATTTAGGCTAGATCGCAGTTGTTAGCCAGAAATGGGGAAGCGGACGGCGACCTTTACCCTAATCCTAACCTTAACCTTAAACGTTAACCCTGACGGCAACCTTAACCCTAACTCTAACCGAAATCGTAAACGTGACCGTAGCCCTTAGACATAGACCTAGCTATAAAACCTAACTGTGGCACTGAAACCTCGTCGTAAACTCAAACCCTAACCGTAACCCAAAAACACAAACCTAAATGACATAACCCTAACCCTAAAACCGGACACCATTAACTGGTACCCTAATCCTAAGCTCAAACTTAAAACGGAAGCCAAATTGGTCAGACGTGATTATGTAGCCCCACAAAAAAGCCCCAGTAAACAAACCCCCGGCCACCTGTAATACGGTGCCTAGCTACCAACTGCGATCTTGCCAAAATTTGAAAAATTAAAATGCTGAGTGACCCACTGAAGTGCCGAACCTCTCGCATGTGAGGAAGAGAGAGTTGATCCAACCTGGATGATTTGTTCACTTACCGCAAACAAAAAACGTGCCAGCACTCGTGGCGTGGAAGGTTGCCAACTGACGCGATACGACTAGGTCCCACCAAGGACAGAGCTAAAGTAAAACAACGCCTCTCATTACATGAGACATGAGAGACCGCTTTATCTGAAGGTCGAATTATGTGGACTTAGAGATCAGGTCATGCGTGGCACTTGTAGATGGACTGCTTATCTCATTCAGCCGCCACTACATTTCCCTGTGCTTTCAGGTGACACGACTTTGTGTTGCTGTCATTGAGGCACAGTGGGTGTGGTAATGACAGGACGAATGCTGTGGGCGTCGGTTTCACCACGAAAAACTCAAGCGGAAGTCACCAGTGCGGGGACAGGGGTGCCCGTCGTGGCTGTGAGTGCAACTCACCCATGAACAATAGCCAAGTGGGCCCATACGCTCTTCTTCTTGGCAAATGGACCCGAGCCGCACTGAGGACAGGAGTAGTCTGTGTGACCGGATGAATTCTGCGACTTGGACGACGTGCCGAGGGCAGGTCTGGCCGGCGATGAGGAACAATCACCGGTACATTTGGCCTGATGGCGCACCAGATGCTGTCGACGAATGTAACTGCGGCCACAGGAACAGCGGAAGGGGCGCTATCGGGGGACATGGACAAAATAAGACATCAGCATTAGCATCACTGCGTCCGTACTCCTACTCCTCACAAGCATCGTCACAATGATCAACTAAGAGTCACCGCTCACTCAAGATGTTACACAGTCAGGCAGCAATAGCTCATGTGGGGGACAAGCGACCACGGCGCAGCGAAGGACATGAAAATTGCCAGTCTCCGAATGACCATGAATAGGGCTTTGGCGGAAAAGGGGGATCAGAAGGCAAACTAAATCGGTGGCGAATGATCAGGCTGAGCGAACTTGAGATTCAATGCAGTGAAAAGAAGCCCGCACTGGGGAATATATAGAAACGGGTATCACTTGCGAACCCAGCGCACGGAGAATAGCGAACCACTGCCAGGTGCGCCAACGTAAACCAGCTGCACCCGCCTCATCTGCCCACACTGGCCATGATCATTTGGTCGCCGCATGGGTCATACCTGGCCATGTTTGCCTCCATAAGGATATGCAGTAAAATACTGCAGATCAAACTTTATCAACAGATTTCGCCTCACTACCCCAAATCATCCACAACCTGCACGGAAAATACACCTATCATGTCAGTTGTAAGCATGTTCTTTGGTGCAACCTAATGCATGACCGGGTCGTTTGTGGCAAACATAGACGGCTTCCTGCAACTCCATCAACCACTGCACCAAATGTCCAAGAGGCTCGGCCAGTCGACTGGTCCGTGGGAGAGAGAAGAGAATCCATTCGCACGACACGTCAGCGCATTCCTTGCCATATACAAAAATCGGACGCGCCAGAAGTCATGCGTTGGAAGGCTGTCAGCTAAAGGGATAACTCAGACCTTTCAAGATGCAGAGACAGGCTGCAACGGCTCCTTCTGAATGTGATCTCCATGGCACTCTTGCTTAGATGGGCTTCCGTTAAAATCTGGTCTACCATGCGCGGACCTGGTCGTGTGCAGCAACGACACCGCACGCAAAATGTGCAGGTTTGCGCGCCATCTACTGCAAAGTGGTATCAATGTAAGCGACAGAAGTTCCGTCTGCCTTCTTGGAGCTAGGAAGTGGATCTTGGTTCCACGAAAACCAGGTAAGGCCAGGTACGGAAAACCGAATTCTTTCCAAGTAACGGACCCAGTTTTCAAAAATCCCATTTCTAATTTTTTGGTATTTTGAGTTAGAAAGTGCAGCAATATGGGGGTTGATTGACAATAGGTTGCCTCACCGCATTAGACAAATACAAGGAGTAACCACGACATGCTGCCACGCCGTGCAAGAAAGGTGTCGAGGCAACTTTGTATGTCTTCGACACTGCACGAGTACGGAAAATACCAGCATAAGGGCTACCGAGGGGGTCGTCTGGAAGTATATTCCGTGTTGGGAATGCACTCTGCGGCGGACAACTAACGATAGAGCGCTCCCAATTGCTAAGAAGCACAGTGACCATCGACCCCCTATCCTTAAGAGCATTTGCCTCTGCGGTTACGTCCTGCAGACGAGGTCCAGGTGGGCATGTGTGGGGGGAACTTATAAAAACACAGCCACAGCTTTCAAGAACTGTCAACGCTCGATGACTTGGATAATCATAGAATTCGGGGGCAGCCAATCTGACCGTCAACAATGAACGCTATCAATAACAAGGGTATCTTCCGATTTTCAAAAACGTTTTTCGATTCCCGGATAACTTTAAACCCGACCTAAGTTGCACTTGAGCTTACGTTTCCCAAAACACACGCCGCATATTTCCATGAAAGGAAAATCCTACATTTTCCTGTGCTACCAAGAGGTCAGGGAGTTCATAAAATTTTCAAATGGGCGTGGACCACGTTGTATACGTCATAAGCGGCATTAATAAACAGGCAGATACGATGCCGTAGGAATAGAAATTTCACGGTCACATAATAACAAACTTTTTTAACCGGAAGGCACCCTTCTCTAGAGCATAAGACGTAAGTTGCTACCAAATGAGTGCAAAATGAGACATTTTGTGCATGTCTTTCTACAAAACACATTTGAACTTATAAGAGCGTCGAAAATCAACGGAGAGAACTCATAATACTTAAGAAGCCATCTCTTGCCGTGCAGATTTGCAGACGGCCGGGGATTTCGTTTAAAGGCCGACATCTTGGCGTGACTAGAATATTTTGGAATTGTGCTGCAGAATAATCAATATTACAGTCCCACGTAGGCAATTCTCTCTTGTCGAAAGCACAATCCAGAATTTCGATTGAGGTCTCATGAGATAAGCCAGCTACTGTATATCCTTCCAGTGTAGTTTTTTGTCTCGCTGAGTCTCGCAGGCAGTGGTGGGTGTACATCAGTTACAAAACAACTAACCTCGCCTGTATGCGTCCGAAGGTGTACCTGAAGCCTGGATGGCCGCATGAAGCAGGCTCCACAGTGTTCGCACGTGTGCGCCATGGCCAACAGGACCGGCCCTATAACACGGAAAAAGATAAATACACTGAACTCTAGCTCGCCGGTTCACATGGCTAAGCGGCGTAAGTACGCAACCCGACCGACCGAAAGTGCTTTTGTCAATCAAAAAAAAACTGTAGGGCAGGTCATTATGGTCGCGAGATTTAGCACTTATCCGAAAAAAAATACGGGAACACCTCTCGGCATGGCTGAGAAATGACGAAATTAGGGGTATCAGTGACGGCATATTTGCATATGTTATTGGCTCCAGGCATTGTGTGAGTCCAAAAGAAACCTTCCGTGTGATGTATATGATCCAACCGAACTTTTCTAATTCACCGGGTCAGGGTCTGTTAGCAACAACAGAAGCGACTGTCGTCAGCTTATGCAAGCCGATCATGTGCGCACAGAAGAATCTCGTGCAAGTCCTGCGTTTATTGCGTGCAATCCTCCGCGTCTTACCCTTTACTTCCCTGACGCGGATTTCCCTAATCCTCATTGCTCCACCCTCCCCTCTTTTCCTACACCCTAGTTGAGTAACAAGATGAACTTCTATCGATTGCTCTTAGCACTCACATGTTCTACTTGTACTCCGGTCCCATAAAAATGTACAGGCTTCCTAAGGATTTACTGAAAACGAACATGCTCCTCGACTACTCTTCTGAAATGACTGATCGTCGAAAAAGTTGATACCATTGTTTCCCCACTTCTTGAGCGCTTGTAATACAATCTCTCCTACTTTGAGACAGACGTCAGACTGCCCAAACAATGACGCACCATCATTATCAGTCTCTAGCTGGCGTTCACAGACAGTAGTGACTGCATGCATTAACGGAGGAACCCAGCCAAGGAGGAAACAGATTGCCAGCATGGCTGTATGCTAACCGGCATGTCCACAACTGGCATAAACCAGAACGGTTTTCAGTGAAGACTAACTTCAAGACAAGCAGGTTTACTGGTCTAACGAATTAGTAGTCGTGGGCCATGCGGAGGGAATATCTTTAGGAGTGATTGAACGCAGAGTTGGGGAACCGACAATCTACAAATGGTCTTACATAATTAAACAGCCTGGCTGCGGGATGGATAGATCGAGACATCAAACTTTAAATCTAGACCCCAAAGAAAACCATCGCTCCGCCAAACCACCCTTACGCGGTCGTTCTCGGCGAGCAAAGACCTTAATCAGTTTTTGACGCTTGCTAAAATCCATTCTAATGTACAAGGAAAATAAGCAATATCCATAACGTACAAGTTGGTGAACGCCAAGCGAGTGATGGGCCCACCGATCTGGCACACCTCTAACATTTACAAAACTAAATGGACGTAAACGAACGTCATCGACTCCGGCAACTAAGCTATCATCACTCAATGGAGGATGGACTTCAGCTGTGCTTTTAAAAGGTAGGATTCGGAATGAACTACTTAGGGTGTAGCATCAAACAGAAGCAGTCCATTAAGTTAGTATATTTTCAGAAAAATACAAAGACGCTGACCTGTCCGACAGGCGAATCCTACTGAAATATTGGTACACTTGACCATCAATGACTGTCTATATAGAACCTCAAAACAAAAGAGCGTCTACGCGGGTCGGCAGACTGAATAACTAAGCTGGTTAACCAATTACTGCCCAATGGTCGGCATCCTGGGTAGGGAAGTTAGGACTTGAGTACGACTAGCGTCCTAACCCCCTGAGGTACGACGCCCTAACCAAAGGTAGCCGGCTTTTAACGATCGGGATATGTTGCCCGTCCAACATGCTGTAGCGTATAGAATTCACCAATTCTAACGCAATCGGCTGGCCGCCAAGGCAGGTTTTTCTATGCAACGAACCTAGGATCCACCAGATGACTACCAGATTGCGGCTGGAACAGTGGCGTCCTTCAATTTTCGATTACAAATATAGAACGGTCCTAGACGACTTTGTTCATCGATATATGGGCTGGGTGCAACAACCACGGAATTCGGAAGGTTTACGTTGAGAAACGCAGTTTCTCTATAAGCCAAGGATTACTGTCCGCATTAACAAATACACACAAACTCGGAAAAAAAACGAGGAATCCTTTTGGTTATATTAGTATAAGCTTACGCTTAAGCGTAATATGCGTATAATTATACATTATTCATGGATTATGCAACTGTATGCACGCTCCCATAACGGATGTGTTAAAGCCGAAAAAATCTATAGCTAGAACAATTATGATAGACAATCCCGAAAGCAAGGGGAGGGAATTGGAACTTAGAAAGTGCTGACGTTTCTTGGTTCACGGACAGGCCGCCAAGCCCACGCGCAGCCACAGAGAAACCCGCCGGGCAGGTAAGCAAACTTTAACAAGTTGCTCGGCTGGTTTAACTATGCTCATGGTCTCATAATCACACAGGGCAGAAACTTCTTGAGCTGCGATCTCGAGTACAAGCGAGTTAACTAAGAAATGGTGGGAGTCACGCTTTCTACGTCTTCAAAATACTATAGTGGAGAGTTAACGGGAAACATAGAAAGGGGTAGAAGCGTTTCGTCGAAAATCCATGACATCAGTCGACTTTTACGAATCTGCAACAAAAGACTCTTGTAACTGCAGGGATATGAAACCTGTTTTATAAAACACTCGGTTGAAAGTAGAGACGTGAAGGACTGGATAGAGGGGGTAGGAAAGTGTGGCAACGAGAGTTTCGAAGTCAACTTGAATTTCTGGGGGGAAAGGGTAACAGACCAATTCTAACCACACTATAATTTCCTTCCGTCTGGTGACAGAAGTTGAGGATCATTGAGAGCAAATTCATTCTGCCCACATGTAGGGCTGTCACGACTTGAAACTTTGCTTGTGGGTCAGAAAAAGATGTTCTTTCAGCAGCGCGTCAGTAGCGGTGTGATGTGTAGTGCTTATAGCACCGCGTATTCCACCCGCATAACTGCCGTGATCAGAAGATTCTAGCACGCTAGCAAGAGGAACTAACTCGCCGTGCAGTATTAAGTAAGTTCTGTAGGCAAGATCGGCTGCAGTCCAACCGATGTCGACCTTAAGAGTGGAACGGATGCAAAACATCCTAAGGGAAGTTATTGGACCATCGTAAATGATCGGACTGAGGCATTATATCCGTCTTTGTCTGCCGATCTAAACGTCAAACTAGGTCATTTGCCTTTGAATGGCAGACAGGCGTTCGAGTTCGATTGATGATGAGTAGAAAGGTGAGCAAGCGGAACAATTTCGATTTGGATTTGGATTGACGTTCAGACCTGACAGTCGCAGGAACTCCAAATGCGGAAACTTACTGCGTCATAAAAGCCTTAACTGCGGTTTCAACGCTAATGTCGGAGGTGGGTAAAGCAACCGATCATCAGGGAAAACGGCTAACGCAAGTCGATAAGACGCTTAAAACGTGGGAGACAATCTATCAGTTCAGAGTGAATGTAACTGAAATGCAAATCAGAAGTGGCGAAAGTGCCTAGCGGAGGAACGGCATGCTGAGGAGTTTTGGCCTGCTGAAATGGGAGACAAGATCAGGTCCAACGTCTCACACTCCGTTTGCAGCTGAGCTAGACGAATCGACCAATTAGGAGTTATACTGTCGTCTGCACTCCAGAATGTGATAAGTTATGAAGGAAGTTGAAGACATGTCGTTGCAAAGTTGCTGTGTCAGAAGGACGTTTATGCCGGTAGAAATGTCGAAAATGGTGATACCAGCCCCATCAAGTAGAGGGACATCGTGAAGTAGAGAAGAGTCGTGAGGGCGAGATTTCAGAAGCCTGGGGACACAAACGAGTGACTTGTGACTTTTGCTTAACGGACTTCTAATCTCAAAAACTATGCATTGCACTTTGTACAGATTTTGCCTATCTCGTCTAAAATTTGCATGTAAATTTATTTTTACTTGCTTTGATGGGACCCCGACGGGTCTTTAATAAAAATAATTGAAATTAATTAAATTTAAGCACGACGGCTTTACGACCCTCGAGAAAGTATCGAGAGTGTTGGATGCCTATTCTATGCTTCTAGTTGGACAGCAAGGAGTTCTCGGTCGAAATCACAGTAGCGGGTCTCTGTTGTGCTTAGTTTGTTTGAGAAGAAAGTCAACCGCTGTAGAACACTGCCAACAGTTTGCTGGAGGGGTCCACTGACGGCAGTGCTGGAAGCAACTGTCATGAGAGTTAGGTGCGCATGTGAGTGGTAGTGGGCAAGCTAGGTTACTTTCGCAACAGTTGTCATGGCGTCTATGAGGGACTTGACGGTTACCTCACTCATCACCGCCTCTTCTTGCAGTGAGCTGAGAAATTTCTGAATGACCTCTTGAAGTACTCCTGAAGGTTAACGCGCGCAGAAGGATTTTAAAATAATTAATGAAATTTATATTTATGAATTCGATTTCTTAATCTCTTACACAGTTTTCCAGTGTAAATCTGTCAACATTGCCTATTTTTTGTCATAAGTCATCTCAGCGAATCGTTGTGCTTTGTCGATTTATCATAAAAGGGAAATAGGTTGTCATAGATTTCACCCAAGAAAGCCTCAATCCTATTAAATTTTACATGCAAATATAAAAGATTTTCCTCGTAAAATTTTGAATAACGTTATAATTTAAACGATAAACTGTCTCCACTGACCGCTTTTATTGTCGATTTATTGACTAGCAGGAAAACAATACTGTTCTCTTTTATATCCTACATAGCCTCCTTAATGGCACGGACAAGGCGGAATTGTTTAGTGCTTTATGCGCAAAACACCTTAATACTGAGTCCAAACCGGTCCCATTCTTTCGCTCACTTTCATATAGGACACTGAGTACTTTCGATGTCTCCTCAGATCTCACTAAGAAACACAAAAGTCGTTTGAAAAACTCACACTGCTCAGGAACGCACGGGATTCCAAATTTAATTTAATTTAATTTATTAAATGCCAGTTTACAGACATTGTCAAGGGAAGCGATTAAGCACAAATCCGACCAGCAGTGAAAAAAAACTCCTGAAGAATAAAAATATAGTTGATGATGGTTTTTATGGTTTAAAGGGTGCAGGAGAAAAAAACTGCTGGCGGTAGATTTTCGACCGTCAAGAAGGGGGGAGGGGGTTGCACGGTATCGGAGATTATCGGACGTCAAATTCCTTTCATGAAGTTGGGGATAGTCAAAGTAGAGGCGTTGAGGAACAGCTGGTGAGACCGGCCATAGTGTTCAGAGACCACAAACGCCATCGCTACGGTAGAGTCGATCAGTGGATTCAGAACCCAAAATTTGAGGAAGCTTTTCTGAATGCAAAAATCGAGTAATAGTTCTCTTAAACAAAGAATAATTTTGCAGAGTTTTCACACTCATTGGTAGTTTATTCCAAATAGCAATTGCATTTAGAGAAAAGAACCGACGATATTTAACAGCACGTGCCAGAGGAAGAAATAAAATGAGCTCACAGTGACTGTAACGTCGGGGGTGGATATGATGTCTTAAAGAAATGAGTGGGTTAAATGTGTGATTACATAAGAGTTTAAATAGCAAAAACAGTCCCTTTTGTAATCTACGGAACCATAAAGGATCAAGGCCCGTAAGCCGGCAACGTTCTTGGTAAGACAAATGTCGGTGTCCCGCGGCTAAAATTCTCTTGGATTCTATTTTCTTCCGCTCAGTAGCACGCATGAGGCTAAATGAAAACGAACAGTATTCCAGATCAGGTTAAACGTACATGTTGTAAAGGCGCATTCTGATGTCCCTAGTTTTAAAGTTTCGGAGGATAAACCCGGTCGTTCTGCGTGCTTTGGAGACTATCAAGGCACAGTGCTCCGGGACATTGAGACTCTTGGAGTATGACATGCCCAGATCCTTAATAACACTGGGCACATTTACGGAGTGACCTTCAATATTTAGTTGAGGTTGGTGGTCGTCGCCAAGCACCATGACTGAGCACTTATGCCAAGAGAGAGAGAAAGGCGCCATGTGCGGCACCACTGGGCGAAAGCCTGTAGATCGCGCTTTAGGAGCTCAAGCACGATGTCACGATCTGCCGGCTTATATCGATATGCAACTTTAAGATCATCGGCATACATGAAAACTTACCATTCTGAAATAAATCGGGTACATCATTAACGAAAAGGCAAAATAAAAGCGGACCGAGTACACTTCCCTGAATGACTCCACTCCTAACACGTGTGGGGTTGGAGATGGTATTGGAAATCTTAACTCGTTGTGTGCGAGTGCCCAGGTAAGAGGATATAAAATTTAAAATTTTGCCACCTATTCCGAAAGAGGACAGTTTCAGGAGAAGAAGAGCATGCTCAACACGATCAAAAGCCTTAATGAAATCGAAATATACTGTGCAAAGTGCAAAACCATTGTCCCTAGATTGGAGAACATAGTCAAAGAAAGAGAGTTGACAGGTGTCACAAGATCGAGCTTTGAGGAATCCATGCTGAGCCGCACTCAGTAGGTTATTCACTGTTAAGTGACACATCATCTTATCCTTGATCAATGTCTCTAAGATCTTCGAAACTGCGGGCAGTGTGTTTATTGGCCGAAAGTCATCAAATGATGTAGATTTGCCGTGCTTAGGAATGGGCAGAATGTGTGATTCCTTCCACAAGGTAGGATAGGTTTCAGTTTCAAGAGCAAGATTAAATATCTTGCATAAGAGGGATGGGAAGATCGTGTTTGCATCGGCTTTTAAAATGCTTACTGGGACACCATCAGGGCCTGGACTATAAGATTGACGAAGACGCCGAATCGCAACAGTCACATCCCACAGAGTGAAAGTTATAGTTTCTAGAACTGCCCCGGTCAATGACTGGATGGTCGGAAGCGGAGTGGTCGAGTCTTCAATGAACGTTTTGGAAAGGAAATCATTGAAGCTATCAGCGGTTAACTGGGCATCAACGATGGGATTTCCGAGAGCGTCTCAGAGGAGGGGATGCTGCGTCTTTCTATGAGTTCGTATTTTTCTAGAGAAAAGTTTCGAGACATTTAACGAATGGTTTTCGGTAAACTGGACCCCTTCGGCTAGTTGTTTTTCTTTAGACAATCTCTTAGCTCGATCAAAAATATCACGAATCAAGGGCAGAACAGAAACATCGTTCTGAAGATGGAAATGACGATAAAGCCTGCGCAATCTGCGACGAAAGGTTAAGGGTAGGAAAACCTCATCCCCAGCAGTAATAATTTTCTTTCGGGGGACAAAACGAGAAATAAGCGGATCCAAAATTTCGTACAGATTTGCAGTGCAAACATTTACATCCGAACTAAGGAAGAAATCAGTCCAGTCGTAGGAATTAAGGTGTGTTAATAATTCGGTTGAGCGAGTTGATCGGAAATTGCGGAAAAAGCTATACTTTGGGGACGACGTTTTGCCAGCCTCAAATACCAACGTTGAAACAACTATGTCACGGTCTGAGCCCCCGTGTGGGCTTTGGGATGACACTGACGAAAGCATGTAGCCTCTACAGAAAACTAGGTCAAGTATGCTTGAGCCTCGGGTGGGAAAATCGACAACCTGATTCCACATCCCAACATCTACAGCCTCAAGAAAGTCTTCGAACCTTCTTGGGCATGAAGGCGGAGACCAGCGGACTTCGGGAAGATTAATGTCACCCGCAACCAATTGATAATTAAAGCTTGAGTCGGCCGCAGCATGAAATGCCTGTGAGAGTAAACGATCAAAATTGTCGTTGGCGTTGGGAGGACGATAGACGCGGCCAACGAGTAAGGAGAACTTATTTTTTAGTGCAACCTGGAGCCAGCAGCTGCCTTATACCGCGGAAAAATGCAGGAGGTCCAACGGCAAAACTGTAAGTGTTTGCTTAACGTAGACGCAGCTGCCCCCACCACGGCTATCTTGGCGATCATTTCGGATGCAATTATAGCCTAGAAGCGAGAGTTCGGAGTCAGCTACAGAGGCTGATGCCCACGTCTCAGTTACTAAAACAGCATCTGGACAATGGACGAACACCAGAGTCTGAAGCAAAGGCATCTTTTTAAGCAAGGATCTGGCATTTAAAACAAAAAGTTTGAAGGGAAAGGTTGTTTGTTTTTGAGGGAAGTGTGCTACATCGTCCAGTTGTGGGCTGCCCACGGAGCAAATGGTCCGGATGCAACCATCCGGTTTTGCAAAAAATTTTGTAGCATCGGAAAATTCTGACGTGGATAAAAAAGGGGTAGGATTAGGAGGAGGGAATGAAGGGCAGGTGAACTGGTAACCATTGTTAGCTAACTTATTTTCAGTTGAAAATCCGCGGGGCAGATACTGCAACGTATTCCCGCCGGAACGAAACTGAGGATCAGATGAATTAACTGATTCAGTATGGACATTATCATGAGGAATAAAGTGGTAAAACGGCCGTGGAGGAAACACGTTAGGGGGCGGGGGACGCATTCCACTGGAGCAAGAGTTTCAGTAAACGGCGGAAAAATCGGCATATTCGGCATATTCTATTTTTAAACGAGCACCCGACCTTCCCATATTGCTTAGTCATTTATTTTCGGTTTATATTTCAAAAGAATTCTTTCCTGAAACACGGAAGACGTCAATTATCCTTCCTGTCTTCAAGTCAGGATATCGGTCCGATGTTAATAACTATCTGGGTGTGCACAAAACACTGTCTCTAGCAGAAATTCTTAAAAGGATAGTTTTCAACGAAATTCTTGACTTCTGTCTAGCTAATCGGGAGCTCTAGTTAACATGGAGTTTTACTACAATACGAAACGAACGATACTACGAAACTTTACAATTGGCATTTCTTAATGTAATCACTTATCTTCGTAATGAACATCAGTCAGTGGTAGTTATCTACCTTGATCTTAGCAAAACCTTTGACAAGGTGCCCCATAGACGTCTTTTAGTAAAATTGGAAGCTCTCGGCATCCGGCCGCCTCTACTCGACTTCATCAGGTCCTATCTGTCCAACCGATATCAGAAAGTCATGGTTGGTAATAGCTACTCGACACCCCCACTCGATCACGAGTGGCGTACTTCAAGGCACGGTTCTGGGTCCGCTAATCTTTCTTCTTTACATCAATGATATTTCGACTGAACCCGGAAATTTGCAAACGTTTATTTATGCCGATGACCTCAAGTGTGTTTACTGATATTCTAAGGACACCGCAAACGTTTGTGTTGAAAAAATTAATGCCGATTTACTACGATTGAACAGATGGAGTTCAATATGGCAGATGGGGTTTTCATCATCCAAGTGTAGTTTCATGTCTCTTGGCCCTACCAAACTTCCTAGTCCCATAATTTTTCAGAATAACCCACTCTCAGAATGTTTCACCATAAAGGACCTGGGTCTAAGTTATACAAATAAACTTGCTTTATCACCTCATGCATATAGAATCTCTACGAAGGCCGCGCAGATATGTGGGTTCAAATCGCATGATGTTTTCTTCCGTAAATGAAACTAAAACTTTATCAAATGTATGTTCTTCCTGTGCTGAAATACTGCTGTTTTTTGCTTGGTTTAATGAAAGCCTGTAATCGTTGGGGATTTTAACGCTCCTGGCATTTATAGGCTAACGTGGACTGCAAAAGGGCCGCAAGACAGCTTTAATCACAAACTACTACAATGGGCAACGGACAAACTTCTCTGCCAGAATGTTACCTTTGGAACACGGGTCAGGGAAGGGCAGCAGTCGAACTGCCTTGATCTTATTTTTACCCGAGAGGAGGAAAATGTTTTAGACCTGCAGGACCGACAGCCATTAGGGTCAAGCGACCACATCACGCTCTACTTCGAGTACTCACTGTTTTCCAAACCCGTTCAACCCGAGAGGTGGGAGAGAAACATTTGGAAAGGGGACTATTCTCTCATGAGGAGGGAAGCGGCAGCTATATCATGGGAGACTGAACTGCATGGTCGAGCAAATGACAACTGGAATACTTTCAGTTCCTTACTGAAAGACATTGTTTATTCCAATGGTCCTCTCAGAAGGAAGACAATCACGAACCGCCCAAAATGGATAAACCCGGACTTGAAGGCCTCTTTCAGAAAAAGGAATCGTCTGTGGAGGCTTTCAGACTAACTGGCTCCGACGAACACTTACAGGAATATAAGCGGCAACGAAACGTCTGTAAAAGTGAGGCCTCAAAGCTGCGAAAGAAGTTTGAACTAAACATCCTCCGAAATTCGTTGGAGCATCCGAAAATTCTATATGGTTATATACGAAGTACTAAAAGGACTCAGGAGCTGATCCCTGCCCTTAGGTCTGCAGATGGAAAAGTGGAGATTGATGACCAGGTTAAAGCGTTCCTCCTTTCCGACTTCTTTCAGTCCGTCTTCACCCGAGAACCTAGTTCTATATTTGCCCATCCATCCATTCGCCAACCAACCTCTCCTCCCAGTACCCTTCCCCTTCCTATCCCCTCCATACCCTCCTTAACCGAGGAACCACTCTTTTCATCTACCATAGTTAGGGCCGAGCTACTCCGGCTGAAACCGGCCAAATCGCCTGGCCCAGACAGAATTCCCGCCCTAGCACTTCGTGAACTTGCTAATGAACTGTGCAAACCCTTATCCGCAATATTTCAAAAGTCATTTGAATACGGCGAACTCCCGGAAGAATGGAAGTGCGCACTGATTACTCCGATCCATAAAGGAGGCTCAAGACTTGACTGCGGAAATTATCGTCCTGTCAGTCTTACTTGCATCGCGTGTAAAATAATGGAACGCATTATCAAAAGACACTTGATAAAATACCTGGAATAGAACGAAATATTGTGCGATGCCCAACATGGCTTTCGTCCAGGGCGCTCCTGCCTAACGAGTGTTCTTTACTCGCACGAGAAATGGACACGAGCTACCGATAAGGGTTTTCCAGTAGATGTCATATTTTTTGACTTCAAGAAGGCCTTTGACAGTGT